TGTAGGAGGCTGAGGTGATGGATCCCAAGGTCAGGAGATCAAGACCATCCTGGCTAACATGGTGAAACCCTGTCTCTGCTAAAATACAAAAAACTAGCCAGGCATGGTGGCGCCTGCCTGTAGTCCTAGCTACTCAGGAGGCTGAGGCAGGGGAATCACCTGAACCTGGGACGTGGAGGTTGCAGTGGGCTGAGATTGTGCCACTGCACTCCAGCCTGGCGTCCAGAGCAAGACTCCGTCTCAAAAAAAAACAAAAAACAAAAATTACCTAGGCATGGTGGCGTGCACATGTAGTCCCAGCTACTCAGGAGACTGAGGTGGGAGGATCACTTTGAGTCTAGGAGGTTGAGGGAGCACTGAGCCATAATCATGCCACTGCACTCCAGCCTGGGTGACAGAGTACAACTGTGTCTCAAAAACAAAGACAAGAAATTTGTAGACAACCCTGACATAGGATATCTTAAAATTTAAGAACTGGGGTGTGTGTGTGTGTGTGTGTGTGTGTGTGTGTGTGTGTGTGTGTTTGCCTGATTTATGGCTTCTTTGATCTAATGTGTTTTTAACACTTGCAGCTCCTCCCTGTTGATTATCATTTCTTGACTACTTGGAATTCAAAAGGTATCAAACCTGTATCCTCTGGGATCTACGACTCCTCACCAGAGTTCTTTCACATTGTAATTTCCGTAGTGCATCTTCAAATCCAAAATCAGTCATAAATTCACCTTCTGGTTCTTTGCATTAAACTGGACTAGCCATTGTAAATTATTGATTTTGGGGATAGACTTTAAAATGCTGTATTATTTATGTTTTCCTTGCCTGCTAATCTAGATTATGACAGTTGAGTATAGCTCTTCATTTAAAATATTTGTGGTTTGCAATTATAAGCATATTAGCAAAATAAGATTATTTCAGTTGGGGGAAAACTGACAGCTTTTGTGCACTAGTGTTTATGACCTGTGGTGTTGAATTTAACTATTAATTTCTTAAAACTTGATCCTGTATTTTACTGTGACCCTGCCCACTAGGAATTTTCATTATAAACAAGAGGGGGACTGATCAACTGCAGTAAGCCATATAGAAGTTAATCTTTCATCACTGAAAACCTTGCTTGAGAACCCCTGGAGTATAAATTGCCTGTCTCTTCAATGTCTAGTTTCTACGGTAGAGCAAAACTACATTCAAGACAATCCTGAGACTATGTGTGTGCGTGTACATATTAAAGCAGTTCATTAGAAATTTTCCGAAATGCAGGCGGTGCAGTGGCTCACACCTGGAATCCTAACACTTTGGGAGGCTGAGGCAAATGGAGGGCTTGAGCCTATGAGTTCAAGACTGGACTGGGTAATATAGCAAGACTTTCTCTTTATTTAAAAAGTAAAAATAAATTTTTTAAAAAAGAAATATTCAGAAATACAAGGTTTGTTGATGGACCATTGTATCTGGGAAGCCCGGGTAAGGATGCAAGTGAAGGAGCCATATTTGAGATGGGGAAGTTTTCATTTAGTCCTAAGATAACTGGGTAGTAAGTTGTCTATTTTGTGATTTCTGACTCCCTCGAACTCTGAAAGTATCCCTGATGGAGTTCTTGTCAGGTTGGTAAAGATGTATTTCCTTCCTTTTTAAGTTCTAGAAATGGTAAAGACCATCCTTACTTTTGGAGAAAGACCATCCTTACTTTTGGAGAAAGGTCAGCTTTAGCATGACAAATGAGAAACAGCAATAGCCTCACTTGACTGGTCAGAATTTGTGAGCAAAATGAGTCCTACCTCTGTGAGAAGAGACAGGAAGGGCCACCCTTGTAGCCATACTTGAAGATGCCCTTTGTGGTGCAGGTGGGCTGTCGGGGAGGGCCAGGTTGCAGTAAGCTGTCCATGGATACAGCCTTGGATGTTGGGACAGGGAATGGGGAATCTGATTCTCGGCCCCCATCATCCTCCCACACACCAGCTTAATACTCTTCCCCAGCTTAATACTCTTATTGTAAGCTCCTTACTGCAAAGCATTAGGCTCTCAGTAGACTAGAAGTTATGTTTCTCATGCAGGATGATTGAGTAGTAACAGTATGACTGTCTTAATGTCAATATGGATTTGTCTCATCTTGTCTGAAACATAATTGAACAATTTCAGGTTCAGACAGGTCTTAGAGTCCACTGTTCATTTCTTAAGAGCAGGTTCTTACACACACACACACACACACACACACACACACCCTTTGTTTTTTATTCTTTCTTAAAAGTTTCCTAGTATAGAATAAATTGGCTAGGTTGCTGTGTACGTATGCAGTGTGCGGCTGCTGGTTAGTTCTTATTAGAGGACCTCACCCAGTAATTGGAACCTACTGTGCATGCGTGCGTGCAGATCTGTGTGCGCTCTGTCAGTGTTGCCAAGTAGAACTGGAATTATCCGTAGCACAGTCATCACATTCCTTTTAGCACAAAAAGATCTTCAAACCTAACTTGGTATTTTCTCTTTTTTATCCTTTTTCTTGTTGTTGTTTTTAAAACACAGCCTCCTCCTGTCACCCAGGCTGTAGTGAAGTGGCACAGTCTCAGCTCACTGCAACCTCCGCCTCTCGAGTTCAAGCAATTCTCCTGCCTCAGCCTCCTGAGTAGCTGGAATTACAGGCACACACCACCACACTCGGCTAATTTTTGTATTTTTAGTAGAGATGGGGTTTCACTATGCTGGCCAGGCCGGTCTCAAACTCTTGACCTCAAGTGATCCACCTGCCTCACCGCCCAAAGTGCTGGGATTACAGGTGTGAGCCACCGTGCCCAACCAGGAGTCTTTTTTCATCTCACTCTGTCACCCACGTTTGAGTGCAAATTGCGTGATCATAGCTTACAGAAGCTTTGAACTTCTAGACTCAGGTGATCCTCCCACCTCAGACTCCCAAGCGGCTGGAATTACAGGTACAAGCTTCTGCTCCCAGCAACCAAGAATCATTTTTTAAAATGCCAGTTAGAAAATTTTTACTTTCTATTTTTATTTATATTTTTAATTTTTTTGAGCCAGAGTCTTGCTCTGTCACCCAGGCTGGAGTGCAGTGGTACGATCTCAGCTCACTGCAACCTCTGCCTCTCGGGTTCAAGCAATTCTCCTGCCTCAGCCTCCTGAGTAGCTGGTATTACAGGCACACGCCACCACACCCAGCTAATTTTTGTATTTTCAGTAGAGACGGGGTTTCACCATGTTGGCCAGGCTGGTCTAGAACTCATCTGTCCAGCTCAGCCTCCCAGAGTGCTGGGATTACAGGCATGAACCACCATGCCTGGCCAAAAGTTTTTACTTTTTATTTATTTATTTGACACAGGGTCTTCTCTGTTGCCAGGCTAGAGTGTAGCGGCACACTCTGGGCTCACCGCAGCCTCAACCTCCCGGGCTTAAGCCCTGCCTAGCTGCGACCCCCATGTCGTGCTAATTTTTGTATTTTTTGTAGAAATGGGGTTTCCCCAGGTTGCCCAGGCTGGTCTCAAACTTCTAAGCTCAATTCATCTACTTGCCTCTGTCTCCCAAAGTGCTGGGATTTCAGGCGTGAGCCACTGTACCCAGAGTAAAATTACTTTCTTAAAGAAAGACATTTTCATTACAGTGGTGCCATTGGTTTTTCAAGTGGAACCTGAGTCCCTCTAGTGGGTAGGGTGTAATTCACCTTCCAAGCTTGAGATAGGTGGGAGATGTCAGTCTGATTTTCTTGGAACCAGCTTTCAGATCCAGTGTCTCATCAGTGCTGGTGTCACCCTCCCCAGCTAAATGGCAGTGCTTAGCTCAGCGCTGGCTTTGCCCCAGCGTCGGCATTCAGTAGTCCTCCTCCTCTGCCCATGTGATCTTCGTGGCCCTGATCTTTCCTTGCATGGAATATCACAGCCATGGTTCGCTAGCTGCTTTATTTCAAGCCTCAGCAAATATAAACTCACGCTACAACTTGATGGTTTTTATGCCATGCAGTTCTTTCCAGCAAAAAATGCAATGCCCCAGGGCCCTTGAGTTGCCATGAAATGAGTCGTTGTGCATGTCTGCTGTTGTTACCACAGGTACCTGAAGGACGGTCAGCAGTTGGAGGAGTTACATGCTGATAGAACAAAGGCAGTGTGTACGGCTGGAAGGAACTTGGGTCTGGCGTTCAGTCCTAACCAGCTACTGTGTGACCTTCAGCTGTGATGACATAGCCTTTCTATAGCTTAGTTTTCCCTTTTGTAAAACAGGGAGATTCCAAAACTCTCTTGTGGGGTTCTTACTTTTTTAATTTAAAAAATTATGTGTGTGTATGCTTTGTTTTGTCGTGTTTTCTAAGACGGAGTCTTGCTCTGACCCAGCTGGAGTGCAGTGGCACAGTCTCAGCTTACTGCAACCTCCCTCTCCTGGAATCAAGTGATTCTTCTGTCTTAGCCTCCCAAGTAGCTGGGACTATAATCATACACCACAAAGCCTGGCTAATTTTTATATTTTTAGTAGAGACGAGGTGTCACCATATTGGCCAGGCTGGTCTTGAACTCCTGACTTTGTGATCTCCCGGCCTATTTTTGTTTGTTTGGTTGGTTTTTAAAAGAGACAAGGTCTCATCCTGTTTCCTGGGCCTGAGTGTGGTAGCACAATCATAGCTCACTGCTGCCTGGAAGTCTTGGGTTCAAGTGATCCTCCCTCCTCTGCTTGCAGAGTGGCTGAGACTACAGGTGTACCCCATTGTGGCTGGCTAGTTATAAACATTTTTTTTAGGGATGGAGGTCTTACTACGTTGCCCAGGCTGATCTCAAACGCCTAGGCTTAAGTGATCTCCGGCCATGGCCTCCCAAAGTGCTAGGATGATAGGATGACCCACCACCCCTTGCAGAGTTGTGTTAAGTGCTGGAAATAATGCATCCAAAAGCCTTTGTGTTTTCAGTGCTCTACGATTGGTGGCAGAAGTTGTGGACATTTTCTCCATCTAGTTCATTACAATGCATGAGGTTTAATTATTCAGATAATTTCCTTCTCTTTCCCATGCTTTCTTTTGCTTTCAGTCACCACCAAGTAAGCGAAGAAAATTAGAGAAACCAAGGAAACCCATTACATTTGTGGTGTTGGCGTCTGTGATGAAAGAGTTGTCCCTGAAAGCATCATCTCTGGGCTCCGAGATGGGGGAAGGCATTGTGGTCGTCACCACGTGGATTGAAAAGATTCTCACTGATTTGAAGGTACCTGGTTAACCGTATTGATGAAGTCCTCAGAAGGAACATTCCCCTTTTTCTATCTTCTTTTATTAATTGAGAGTTTGGAAAGAAAGGAAAAGTAATTTCCTATAAAATGCTCTTTTTCCTCCAAATAGGTCCAGCATAAACGAGTGCCCTGTGGAAAAGAGGAAGTTAGCCTTTTCCTAACAGCCATAGAAAACTCCTGGATTCATTTAAGGAGAAAGAAAAGAGAGCGAGTGAGACAACTGAGAGAAGTCCCTCGCGCTCCTGAGGATGTCATTCAGGCCTTGGAGGAGAAGAAATCCACGCCCAGAGAGCCTGGTAACAGCCAGGAGACGGTGCCGTGCAGGCCTGCCGATGCGGAGGGCCAGGGCCTGAGCCAGGAGTCGCTGTCCCCGGAGGAAAACCCAGAACCCATGGAGGACGAAAGGAGTGAGGAGAAGGGAGAGATGGAGGTTTTGGAAAGCTGTAAAGGCTCTAGCGACGGAGCCCAGGACCAAGAGTCTTCTGAGCAGTTCAGCAACCCCATGGCTGCCAAGGGGAGGCGTCTCCCAGGCATAACTGGGCAGTACCTGTTTAAGTGTTTGATCAACGTTAAGAAGGAGGTGGATGATGCCTTAGTTGAAATGCACTGGGTTGAGGGCCAGAACAGGGATTTGATGAACCAGCTTTGCACCTACATACGTAACCAAATTTTCCGGCTTGTTGCTAGTTAACTGGAAACATTTTGCACAGCTGGAGGCGTGTTTATAGGAGCTGGCTTTGGAGTGGCTGTGGGGTGGCAGGAGGAATCCGGTCAGTGGTCCATTTGTAGCATTATGGGCCACTGACATGAATTACATTCAAAAACAAGAACCTGTAAATCTATCCCCACTTCCCCCCACCGCCTTCCTGCTGTTCTTTTTAAGTTACAGGAGTTGTAGTATGGACGTTTACAAGGAGGAATTGTGGTTGTGACAACAGAAGGCCCTTGGTACACTCCCGAGGCTTTGAAAGTTGGCTAGAGCTGGGCCCCTCAGCTGTGGACTGCTTCTGCACAGCCAGAAGTGCTGTTTGTGGAGTGTGGGCTGGGCAGCACTGCCTAGAATGCCAAGCTCTGTCACCCAGGGGTGTTCCTTGAGGAGCGGCAGCTCCCTCTGCCTCCAGTCCTGGTACCCTCTTCTAGGTCACTCTTCAAGATGGAACCTACCTTACATCAGTCCATGAAGGGAGCCAGCCCCATGGCAGGTGGTGGGGAATCGGGGAAAGAAACCTTATAATGGCAGGAAGAAGGACCAGTCTGGGGAGCACCTGGTAGATGGCCCATTCCTGACACTTGGCTGTTTAGTTTTGCTTGCTTTGGAAGCAGAATTAGGTAAGCCAGACTCCTGAGTGTGACTGAAGCACACAGAAGCACCCATACCTCCCCCTCCAGCCTGTTCAAAGTACCCTTTCTTAGCAGTTTTACAACTGCATTAGTTTTGTTTGGACATAAGAATATTCACAAATGGCTGGGCGCGGTGGCTCACGCCTATAATCCCAGCACTTTGGGAGGCCGAGGTGGGTAGATCATGAGGTCAAGAGATGGAGACCATCCTGGTCAACATGGTGAAACCCCGTCTCTACTAAGAATACAAAAATTAGCTGGGCATTGTGGCGCGCGCCTATAGTCCCAGCTACTCAGGAGGCTGAGGCAGGAGAATTGCTTGAACCCAGGAGGCGGAGGTTGCGGTGAGCCGAGATCACGCCATTGCACTCCAGTCTGGGTAACGAGCGAAACTCCGTCTCAAAAAAAAAAGAATATTCACAAATTAAAAACCAGTGGTCTGCTTGAATCCTGGGGTTGGCTGAATGAGCAACTGATGACAGAAATGAGAAATGGAACAAAATAGGTAGCTGCAGAAAGGCTCAGATATTTGGTTGCTGATCAGATACTATTTTTTTTTTTTTTTGTGGTTTCACTTATCCCCTCTGTGATTGCCTGCTCACATTGGAGAGTTCTGAGCCCAGGGTAACCATGTGCTTAAAACATGTTCTAATAGGCATGCCAGGGTCCTGTAGAAATACCCCTGGAAAAAGGGCAACCATTTGCTGTGCTTGAATTTAACAGCTTGATGATGTGTCAGCAGCCTAGGGTTCTATTTAGACTAAAATATTTGCCAGAGCTCCTTGCTACCTGCTAAGAAGACTGGGGCTGAGTAGCTAAGCCACCCTTCTGAGAGGTGGCTGTTGGTTAAGACAGAAAGCTGATGACCTTGGCATACCTTGGCAGTAGCTAGATCAGGCCCTCAGCAAAGATGCAGGAAATGGAACGACTGCTTTAGTCTGGCTGTGGAGCTGGGGCTAGAGAAGACAGCACAGTGACCAGTGGTGTTTTTGTTGGTTGGTTTTTTTGTCTGGAAATGACATTTCACTCTTGTTGCCCAGGCTGGAGTGCATGGTGCAATCTCGACTCGCTGCAGCCTCCACCTCCCAGGGTCAAGTGATTCTCCTGCCTCAGCCTCCTAAGTAGCTATGAGAGCAGGCATGTGCCACCATGCCCGGCTAATTTTGTGTTTTTAGTAGGAACGGGATTTCACCATGTTGCCCAGGCTAGTCTCTAACTCCTGACCTCAGGTGATCCACCCACCTCGGCCTCCCAAAGTGCTGGGATTACAAATGTGAGCCACTGCACCCGGCCACTGACTAGTGTTCTTAACTTGGTCTGTGAACCTCCAGAGAGTCCATACACCTCCTAGAGTTACTTCTAAAAGTTCTGTGAGCGTATTTTGTTTGTTTTCTGGAGAGAGGGTCCCCAGAACCCTCAGACATAGACAAAGGGGTCAGTAATCCACTCAGGATTAAGAAGCATTATTCTAGTCTAACCACTCATGTGTCAGGCTGTGAAAACTAGTACCTAGGGTCTTACAGAGGCAAGCCTCCATTCAGGACCTCAGACTCCCCTGGTCTAGTAATTGTGCCCTAGTCCACACCAGCCAACTGTACTTACCTCAAATGAATATCACATTTGAGTCATTTGCTGGATGCAAACCTAGTTTTCTTGGCATAATTTTAGGATAATTGGTTGAGTGGCACCCATGCATTCAGTAAGTAGTCAGTAACTAGTTATTTGCTTTTTTCATTACATGCTCATGAAAGGCTGGGAAATGAAAGTCAAAACAACAAAGTACCCCGAGTTTGCCTTCTGTAACATAACTGCTATTGGGATTGGCGTGTTTCTTTTCAGTGTCTTTATGTAGACGGGGTGTAAGTGTGTGGGTTCACTTCGGTTGTACTCATGCTGCATATTCAGGTTTGTATTCTGGTCTTGTTTTCATTGAACATCTTAGAATTATGTTTCCATGCTATGACAGTACTGTGTTTACTTAACCTCCTCGCCTGTTCCTGTGTCTTTCAAGCACAGGACTGGAAAAGTAAGTCTGTTTCTTAGGGGTTTCCAGAAAATACTCCGTATAACTGAGGCACAGAAGGTTTTTCTGTGTTTATATGTGTTTCTGTTCGTAGGTTTAGGGCTCGGTGTCCTGGAGGAGATTTTATACGTGTGAAGTTAATGACTTGAGGGTTTTAAAAATCCGTGACAGTGGACAGGTGTGGTGGCTCACATCTAATCCCAGCACTTTGGGAGGCCGAGGTGAGCGCATCACTTGAGATCAGGAGTTTGAGACCAGCTTGGCCACCATGGTGAAACCCTATTTCTACTAAAAATACAAAAATTATCTGGGCGTGATGGTGGGCACCTGTAATCCCAGCTACTCGGGAGGCTGAGGCAGGAGAATTGCTAGAATCTGGGAGGTGGAGGTGCAGTGAGCCGAGATTGTGCTGCTGACTGCACTCCAGCCTGAGTAACAGAGGGAGACTGTCTTAAAAAAAAAAAAAAAAAAAACCACCATGTGACAAGGCCGACTTTCACAGCCTGCAGCTGAGTGGCTCCTTTGCATTTGGATGCCTCTATGTCCTTCTCTGAGAAGATTAACTTCTTAGACTACCTAGTGAGAACATTGAAACTGTTTTTAAAGGACATCTACACGTTGTCGTGGCCATGCCTGCACTTTATGATTGTGTGCTGTGTCATAGCACATACCTCTCTCTCTAGGTCGGAATGTTGTTTTCTTCTTTGAAGAAATAGGCTATTGACTCATATGTCATGATCTTGAGTGTAACTCTCCTTAAGTGTCCAGAGGCCAGGTTCATGTTGATGGATTGGTTTGAAATGAAGTCTTTGTGGTATGATCCTAAATTCTCTTCTGGTCCCTAGAATCAGCTCTGGTCTCTTGATAACTGAAGTGGAGGCAGAAGCTGACAGAAGCTGAGCCTGTTTTCGAGGCAAACTAAAACTGCTTTTGTTCTTCGGCATCTGCTTTGCTTCTGTCAGCTTGGTTCCTTCCCCACACACCCTGGCCCCACTGTTCCCACCCCAGACCTTTGCTGTGTGTCCTGGCAAGGCCGAGGCTGTGCAGCGGCCTTTCCACTAACTCATCTTAAGGTTTGTGTAGATTAGTATATATTTTTTATAAAACATAAAGCCTTTCCTCCCAGCGGAAATCAAAGCTTACCATGTGAGCACTCGAACTTCTAAGTTCTGACAGGAATAACAAAACTGCCAGGAGTCGAAAAGCTGCAAAAGCCTGTGGAAAATCCAAGGCCTTTTGAAAGAAGGGAGCTGATGACTTCACGGCCCGCTGGAGCCCCTCCTTCCTGCTGAAGCCGCGGCGTTTCCCTCCGTGGCCACATAGGGGCAGCCTCGGACCTTTTATCAAAGGCCTTCACTTCCCTGTGGGAATGAAGACAATTGTATCCATGGTGTTTTCTTGAAATACCAGTTGCTACCCAGATTTGTATTTTTATGTAAACACATTTTCACATAAATAAAATTTGAAAAATAAAAGCAGAAAGAGGAAAAAACACTAGCCATGGTCTCTTAACCTGGTGTAATCCCTTTCCACCTTTTAATGTTTCTTTAACGGTCCCAGCTGACTATTTTTCTATTCTTCCCTACTGCTCTACTCTAGAACATATCCAGGTCGAGCCAGTCCTGTGGATCAACTTTTTCTTGACATAACTAGTTAATGAAGATACCGGAGGGGCATGTTTGCAGATCTTAAAACAGATCCGAAAGCCTTATGTTCCAGAAGAGTAATGTCAGGATCTCCAAGAAAGCAGGTGTTCAGTGTTCTTTTGTTGACTCTTGTGTGGGGTGTCTCTGGTTGGCTGTTGTGTTGTTTATATCAGAAGTGGAAGATTCTGTGTGGTGTCTATGATGCAGGTTAGCCAGGCCTTGCTTCTCACCAGGGCGTTTCTAGGTAGAACATGGATCTTACTAACCCTGGGGTCTGTATGCACGCAAAGAGAATCCCATCTCCCCTTATGTTTCTGGTACAGGATCAGATGTAGCCGCCCGGCAGTTGTGCCCATTAGGAGGAGGAAGGTCCAGGTGGGAAAGTAAGTCAGGAGCCCCCGGAAGAAGGAGCATTTCAGAGGTGCAGCAGCTTTGCAGCCGTCGAGGGCTGGCCTCAGGCAAGGGTCACGGCCACATGCTTTTTCGGGAAGTTGGCACACAGGGGACTTGGTTTGAATGGGTACTGACCTTGGTAAACCCGGAAGAGGCTAAAGAGAATGAGTTAGCTTCTGCCTCCTGCGGGCAGCATTGATGGTGCTGAACCTTTCTGTAATCCAGAGTACGCAGCCCTAGGTGTGAGTGCAGCGCAGCATCAGAGGCCCACTGACAACGGGCGCGTTCCTGCTCTGCTCCGGGAAGACATTCACATCCTCATTTGGGTGACTCAGCCAAATGACTAAAACAGTGATGTTTGCAGTTGCCAGTGCTGCTGGTTGGAGGCTCTGCTTTGTACTCCAGGGACTCTTGTGACAAGGAACACCCTTGCCCCCTCCAGCGTAGCCTGTCTGCCGGTCTCCATCCAAGCGGAAGCCTGGGTTTCCTTAGGAAAGTGGAAGATAAAGGGTGCTTCCCTCACAAAGGAACTGAGAGGAGAAGGGGTCAAGGAAAAGTGCAGTCGAACTTGGCAGAACTGGTTGGCATGTGGTGCCCTGACAGGGCCAGGCAGGTGGAGACCCAACACACTTTTCCACCCACCCTAGTGGAGTGAGAGGCAAGAAGGAGCACAGACTTCGATGTTGAGACTGGGGTTCCCATCCAGTTCCATTCCTTGCATGGGGTAAGTCAGTTTACTAAGCCTTGCCTTCCGCCTGCCAGAGATGAGGAATCCTCGCTTCACAGGGTTAGAGACCTCAGGAGAGGGTAGAAACACTTGCCTCTCTTCTGCTTCTTTGAATTTTCAGTTTCTGTTCAGAAAACCTTCTATCAGTAGACTCGGATAGAAAGGCTGAGACCTCATGTGTATACCTGCAGGTGTAAAGTACCACCTTTGACAAAGAACAAAACCCATACTTCATGTTATGGAGGGAGGCACAGGGACCAATATTGAGTGTCCCCTTCCACACAGACTGTCTCAGTTAGTAACCCATCAGCCTGTGTGACATTTCTGTGTGGAGGCTGAAGGAAGTGGAAGCTCGGAGAGTGTCAGTGACTTGCTCGAAGGTTATCTACAGAGCTAAGTCATAGAAATGGAATTTGAACTCAGGTCCAGGAGGCCAAGATTGGGATCTTGTGCCAGATCCCAAAAGTCTATGACAAATGCTGCACTTGAGATGGAAATGGGCCTCCAGGCTCATCTGACCCGCTTCCAGAGAAGGAGAGTTCAGTCATATGACACAGGGAAGGAACAAGCATCTGGTCATACTATTTTCCAGCCTATGATCAATGAGTGACATGTAGTCAGTGGAATTACTTAGAATTCTTAATTTATGTACCAGATCTTCACAGAACTTTGTATTTGGCAGCAGTCAGTGAAAGTACAAAATAAAATGTCTAGTGAAAGTACATGTTGGACCAGAATCAATAGGAAATAACTGGTTATTGGGTAAATTATTCTTTGGCAATACATAATTGTATAATGGAAGAGAGGTTTAATTCTGTTTTTTTAATAATGCAGCTCCAAATATTTCACTTACAGAAAAACACAAAACAGATGTGCTTTTTGAGCTTTCTAGAGAAGGTAGCAATTGTCAGAAAAATAGCCAGGCCTCCTCCCCAGGTAGGTGTGGGAACTAGTGTCAGTCTGGGAAGAGCAAAGGCTGCCTGCCATCTGGTGGACCCATTCAGGGAAATGTGGCCCCAGAATCTAAAAACCAGAGCCAGGAAGTTCCCAGCTGGGGCACTTGGCTGCCCCGAGCAGCCTTTCAGGCCCCACGGAAATGGCATTGCTTATGTTGCTGTCATCCAGAGAGAATGAGAAGGGAGCCCAGAGAGCACTGCTGAGCAGGCCCCCTCCTGGAACACCAATGGCCGGGGCCTGTGCCCAGAGACTTGCCATTTGGAAATTCTGTGTCTCCTGCTGGGAAAGGGGAGTCTCTGTCTGGTCTGACACAGGATGCTTACTTCACACGTTACTCCCAGGATTTCTGCCTTCAGTGGCCAAATGGAGCTGTTTTTGTTTTTTCGTTGTTGTTGTTTTTTGAGATATAATTTCATTCTTGTTGCCCAGACGGGAGTGCAGTGGTACAATCTCAGCTCACTGCAACCTCCAACCCCTGGGTTCAAGTGATTCTTTCACCTCAGCCTCTCGAGTAGCTGGGATTACAGGCGCGTGCCACCACACCCGGCTAATTTTTTTGTATTTTTAGTAGAGACGGGGTTTCACCGTGTTGGCCAGGATGGTCTCGATCTCTTGACCTCATGATCCACCCGCCTTGGGCTCCCAAAGTGCCAGGATTATAGGCGTAAGCCACCGCGCACGGCTGACTTTTCCATTCTTAAAGGAAAACATCTCGGCCAGGCCCAGTGGCTCATGCCTCTTATCCCGGCACTTGGGGAGGCCGAGAAGGGCAGATCACCTCAGGTCAGGAGTTTGAGAGCAGCCTGGCCAACATGGCGAAACCCCATCTCTATTAAAATAAAAAAATTAGCCAGGTGTGGTGGCATGTGCCTATAATCTCGGCTACTTGGGAGGCTGAGGCAGGAGAATCGCTTGAACCTGGGAGGCGGAGGTTGCAGTGAGCCGAGAGGATTGCTTGAGCCAGAGAAGGCAAGGCTACAGTGAGCCAGCATCGCACTGGTGGATTCCAACCTCAGTAACCAAGTGAGACCTTGTGTCCAAAAAAAAAAAAAAAAAAAAAAAAATATTTTTTTGCCGTAAACCATTTGTTAGTGGCCACTTCTGCCACCAGGGGTGGAACCGCTGTGTTCGCTGCTTCCACTTCCCTCCCTCACCTGACCTGCTGGTCTGCCCCTGCCTGTTTTCCTTTTTTAGGACCCTTCCCTCCTCTTAAGGGAGGAGTCCCCAGGAGTCTATCTGTGGGCCTGCTTGCTCTTTTCTCCCACTGCTGGCTGAGCTCCTCCACTCCAGTTACTTGAGTCTCTCCTCCTACATTCATTACATCCACATCCAGACCCGCCTTAAACTTCCAACACCCTGAAGCTCACAGCTGCGTGAACTCCTCTGTCTGCACCTGCTTCTCCTGTTGCCCTGCTCACCATCCACCCAGCTGTCCAGAGTACACATCTCTGTTCTTCCCTCTCCTTTCCCACCAGGTCTAGAGTCTTCCACTAAATCCCACCAATTCCACCTCAGAAACCTCTCCCAAGTCCAGCCCAGTAGAGTTCTCCATTCTTTTTGTTTGATTTTTTTTTTTTGAGACAGAATATTGCTCTGTAACTCAGGCTGGAGTACAGTGGCACAATGCCAGCTCACTATAACCTCTGTCTCCCAGGTTCAAGTGATTCTCCTGCCTCAGCCACCCGAGTAGCTGGGACTACAGGCGCGTGCTACCTGCCCAAGTAATTTTTTGTATTTTTAGTAGAGACGGGGTTAGCCAGGCTGGTCTCAGTATCCTGACCTCATGATCTGCCCGCCTCGGCCTCCCAAAGTGCTGGGATGACAGGCGTGAGCCACCGCGCCCGGCCTGAGCGCTTCATTCTTAGCACCACCACCTTCACCACTTCCTCGTGGCTCATCTGGGCTGTAAGACTGACAATTTCTGGGGAGCTTCAGAGTAAAACAGCAGAAAGAGCAGATTTTGGTATTTTGGGCAGAGAACAAGATGAAACCTGCTTTGGGGAGTGAACTGGGAGCTTTCCAAAGAAAGAGCAGGACGGGAACTAGACCCACAGGCAGGGGAGTTAGTTGAGATCAAGAGATGTGAGATCCTAAAGATGGGAGCCCTTTCTAATACAGGACAGGCCAACATTTCCCCCTGTGACAACTTCAATTGTTTTTTGTTTTTTTAAAGACGGAGTTTTGCTGCTGTTACCCAGACTGGAGTGCAGTGGCACAATCTCGGCTCACCGCAACCTCCGCCTCCTGGGTTCAAGCAATTCTCCTGCCTCAGCCTCCTGAGTAGCTGGGACTACAGGCGCGCACCACCATGCCCAGCTAATTTTTGTATTTTTAGTAGAGACGGGGTTTCACCATGTTGACCAGGATGGTCTCGATCTCTTGACCTCGTGATCCACCCACCTCGGCCTCCCAAAGTGCTGGGATTACAGGTGTGAGTCACCGCGCCCAGCCTCCATTGTTTTTAATTCTTGGTCCAACAATTTTATTTTTATTTTTATTTATTTTTATAGAGACAGGGTTTCACCATGTTGGCCAGGCTGGTCTTGAACGTCTGACCTCAGGTGATCCACTTGCCTCGGCCTCCCAAAGGGCTGGGATTACAGGCTTGAGCTACCACGCCCGGCCTGACAATTTTATTTTTAAAAGCAATACATTTTTATTATAAAAAATTTAGAAGACTAGGCACTATGGCTCACATCTCTAATCTTAGCACTTTGGGAGGCCAAGGTGAATGGATCGCTTGAACTCAGGAGTTCGAGACC